ACACCATAATGCTTTTTAAAAAGGAGAAATAGATATTAAGAAAAGAAATCCGCTTGTAAGATAAAAACATTTGGGAAAAAATGTAGTCCGCCAGCGTCAGGAATCAGATTTCTTGGCTGGAGAAACAAGCATGTGGTCATTGAGTCAGGGCCTTCAGCAAGCATGCTGTGGCTAAGAAATGTGGAACAGGGTCTACGGTTTCTTGCTGTTGACTAAAGTTTGAGGCTTTTGGGGTGAAGTGCTGGGGGATTGCTGTCAACAGCCTTATATTTTGGAATTTTCATTGTATTCTCCTATGTCCATTACTCAGCTGAGATCTCTGAGTTACTTAAACAGTATTCATGCTGATAAATATACAGAGGTAAAGGAAGTACATATCTAAAACTCAAGAATTCCTTCTCTCGTTCTCCCCTGCCCTCTTGTCCCTACACACATGGACACTATCTCAACCCTAAAATGAATATCTGAGGTTAACAATACTAAACAGATATTAGCCAATAAAATTAGTATTAAGGTCTTTGAAAATTCTCATTTTGCCTCATTTACCTTTATTTTAATTTCCCCTATATTCTGCATACACACACACAGTCTGGTATTGGTAATTAACTAGATGAACAGACCAAATAAGCCAAAGCCAGTGAAGCCAAGAGATGTTTAATCAACACTGTGAACTGATTGATACTGACCTGGCATCCCTTAGACAATACCTTCTTTGTCAAAACGCTAAGGTAAAGTGCTGTACCCACTTATTACTAAGCATTTCTGCCATCTTTACAGAAGCAGACCAGGCCCAAGCTTTCCATCGGGCCCCCTCCTCTAGCACCCACAGCCAGGTTCACATAAGAACCACTCTTCACACCTGTGGTCCCCAGGACCACAGGGACTTGATATTGTCGCTAAGTGCCGGCAAGTCGCTTCGGACTCATAGTGACCCTGCATAGGCTTTCCAAGAATAGCTAGTGAGTTTGAACTACCAATCTCATGGTGACCACGCCAATGCTTATCCAAGACGTTTACAGTGGAAGGCCTAGTCCAACGCAGGCTTCACTACCCACCATGTCTCCTTTGACTCCTAACTATGAATACTATGTGCACATGCAAAAAACAAAACTAGGAGAGAAAAAAAAAATCAAAACCCTGCGCTGATTAAAAACCTTAAGAAAAACCCCTACATGTAACTAATTGGACAATACTTCCTGCCTCATTCTAAGAGAAATCAAAGCTTGAAATATCAAATGACTCGCTGCACAAGCAGCGGGCATCCTTGCCCACCAGGTTCCACTGAACATTCCAGAAAGTCCAGGCTGTGAAACTTCTGCTTCTCAAACCCCTGCCTTTCCACTGGGCCTCAGGCAGATTCTCTGTCTTGCTCTCTAGGTGCTATACTTACCTGATTTGACTTTTGAACTACAGTTCTCACTCCTTAGTTAACTTGCTGACACCAGACACCTCCCTATCTTTCCTGGTGTGATGCTGTAGTGGTGTGCTAACCACAAGGTTGGCAATTCAAATCCACCAGTGGCTCCTAGGAAACCCTATACAAGGTCGCTACGAGTCGGTACCAACTCAATGGCACTGAAAAACAACAATATCCTGGTGTGGCATTCTAGGATAAGCACTGGACTGCTAACCACAAGGTCAGTGGTTCAAACCCACCAGCGGCTCATTGGAAACATGATACAGGGTCTCTAAGAGTCAAAACTGGCACTTAACATGTTTCCATGAAGGGCCCCGGTAGCACAATGGTTAAGTGTTCAGCTGCTAACAGAAAGATCAGTAGTTCAAATCCATTGAGCACTCCATGGGAGACAGACGTGGCTGGCTGTTCCTGTAGACTTACAGCTTTGGAAACCCTATAGGGCACTTTTTAGTCTGCCCTTCAGATCACTGTGAGTAGGAATCTACTCAAAATGCAGTGGTTTTGTCTTGGGTTTTCTCTTTCCATGGAGAACCCTCTCCCACCTGCTCACCGGCTTTCTCCAATTACCAGGTTTCTCTGCCTGACACAATCGTTAGTACCTGCTTCTCACCCGGGTATCTTCTCCACAGTTAGCAAGTCCTGCAGTTAACCTGTATTGTCGTTACTCAGAAATCTTGTAATTTTACCGACCTGCGTCTATGTTGCTAGCATGTCTTGTCATTTTGGAAACGCTAAACCCATCCTATGTTTTGTTTTCCATCTCTTATTCCCCATGGGAGGGTGCAGGAGACCAGAGATGAAGCCTCCCAGGAATCCTTTTCAGTTCAGTATCTAAATCTTCTCCCGATCCTTGTTTGGAATCTCCAGTACCTGATCTTGAATTTCTATGACGCTCCTGGAGCGCAGAACTGGCTGGTAGCCATGTGATATTGATTTGTTTTCACCATAGCAACAGCAAATTAAAACAACCAGCAAGAGAGAAAGGCAGGCAGTTAATCAGTAAAGCTACATAACCAGTATATTTCACAGGCATATTTTTTTCTCTTTTTCTCTGGTTATCACTCTTATTCACACAGCATTCACAAATGTAAAATAAAAGTAGAAGCAAAACAGCTAGAAATGCTTTGGGTACCACAAGGCCTATGTCGGGAATAGTCAGTTCCTGGTATACAGTTCCTGGTATATGAGACTACAGAGATGGAAAACAGAAAAGCTCTTGTTTTCCTTGGGAATTGTATTTGTTGGTCTAAAAATAAATATCCCTAGAAAACGTACACAAACATGAAGAGTTTTGTGTATTTGACTCTATATTTTACCACCGTAAGGCATTTGCCTAGAGGTTCAAATAATACCAAGGTTTTATCCCTTTGTACTTAAAATAGCTCTTAGTACCAAGAGACAAACAACTTGTGTGTGTGTGTGTGTGTGTGTGTGTGTGGTGCACACAAGGTCAAATTCTCTCAAAATGTTAGAATTATGAAGCAAAGTGAAGTAACTATTATTCAGTTCTACTAAGAGTCAGAAAATTGAGATGGGTGCTTGCTCAAGATGACACAAGTAGTTAGGCAGAAGATATAAACTACCACAGAGAACACCACAGCACTTCAACTGTTCTAATCCAAATTCTTTCTTCAAAGGCTCCTTATTACAAACTAACCTTTGCCCTGATCTCTGACCAAGATGGCCACTCAGCCTGCAATACTGCACATCACTTCCTTTGGCCCATCTGGTGGTGGCAACTGCTGCTTTTTGCATGAAAGCAGCTGCTACCTCCATCACAACCAGCCATGAACTTGGTGCCATCGCCTGCCTCCTAAATAATGGCTCTGGTGGAACTGGGAATGGGGCCACGGGGACTGTCCACAGAAGGGACAGTGTTGGGTTGCGGCACCAAGGGGAAGGTGGGCCAGAGAGAGAAGCCCTTCTCTGCTCCCAGCCTCTCTCTGCTTTTCTGCCAGCCCAGCCAAAACCCTGCAGAAAACCTGTGTTGACCTGCCCGATGGCAGGCAGGTATGAGAAGGTAGGCTATTCGTGAAAGGGGATCCATTTAGGGTTTAGGAAAAAAAAACAGGCTAAAATATGAAGACATAACTCAAGATTTGCTAACTGGGAGATAGAATGTTCCTAGCTAGGACATAAAGACATATTCCTCTCCAGGAGCCTGAATAATAAAGCACACAGCAGAAATAGTTGGAAGATGACGTCAGAAGTTAGTGTCCTGCACTTCTCCTTGAAAGTAAAAACAGTGGATCTAGAAGAATCTACGTGGCATTGCCCTTATTTAAATGAGTACTCCAACTGCTCTTCACAAAACAGGCTGGCTGGCTAGAGAAACTTCTTCTTAGTGAAAGATTACAAGAATGTCTCTCCCCCCCCCCCTTTTTTTTTCTTACATTATTGTCCTCAGAATGCACATATTACCCAATTAACAAATATCTTTCCACTGAATCTTTGCCTTTTAAAGGGACAGTAATGTTTTCTGAAGAGCATTCACCATGGTGGTGGTGGTTAAGCAAGTCGGATTTTTTTTTTCTTTCCTTTGCTCCACTGCTTGCTAACTATTCTAAAAATGTTACACATTTATTGTAAACACATGCTCCCAAGGCCTAACAAAAAGGCACAGTTTCCTCATGCCTGGCAGAAATGTAAAACGGAAAAGGGCAGAAAGAATTCTTTAACAAATATATCCTTTCCTTCTCCTGAGCCAAGTGTGTTAAAAATAAATCTTCTCCATCATTTCTCACCACTGGTTCTCGGCAAGAAAGTTGATACGGTTCGGCATAGTGAAAACACGGCTTTAAAGCTAGTCTGCCCTCATTAAATTATTCTGCTGGCTGTGTGTTCTCATTAAAAATGCATAAAGATCAGATAATTGCAGTAAGCATTATTAACCCAGCTTTACTTTTGAATATAATGGTTCCACTTTTAAGGGAGAAACAAAGACTCAGACATGCCAGGAAAAAAAAAAAAAAATGTAAACATTGAACTACAGTATCGAAAACTTGCCAGAAAGCTACGTCTTGCTAGGTTGTTAAAAATATGCTTTTGAAACTCAATTAAAGGTCTAGCATTGTCGAGCCATTGGTAAGTCCCTAATTTCTAATAAATAGACATATTTTTGTTTGGACCAAACATTCAATGATGGCTATTTCCCATAATGTTTATTTATTTTTTTCTTAATTCTAGTTCTGTTTTCAAAAAATAAGAACACTGTAAACTTTATCTACCTGGGGGGCTAATTATGGCAGATGGCAATTTTCTATAACAGGAAAATAAGAATGCTCCCAATACTTCAAATGAATCTTTTTAAAAATAATATATGGATCTATTATTTGCATAAGAACTCGATTTTATGCCTCACCCCAGACAGGCGTTTTGGATTCCAGCTTGGCCATATCTTTTTTTCTCAAATCAGAATGTTATGTAAAACTCCAGGGTCTCCTGCAAGTACTACATTTGAATTAGTGGAACCCGGTTTCCCTGGCTTCCTTAAGCTACACACATGGAATGCAGCAAACTGCAGTAAACTCTTTAAACATTAAAAAAAAAAAAAAAAAGGAGGGGGGGTTGATTCGCCTACCTTGTTTAGCTCTGTCTGTCCTTCCCACTTACAGTAACCTCAGGAACATCTGGCAGAATCGAGTGGTCGAGGTTTCTCACTGCTTTATGAAGAAAACATGTCCGTGTAAATAGTTCTCATTCCCTGTTTATTGTACTCGGAGAGCCGTCTGCCGTATCTGGAAATTTTTGCCTTCAGATGATGAAGCAAAGACAGTCTAAACTCTGTTGCTGTAAGCTGCAGCCCTTCCTTCCGACAAATCCCTCCCAGCGGCGGCCAGCCAATCCGCAGCCAGTTCGTCAGCCCTACTCGTCTGAAACTGGCCCTAATAGGATGACTGACACACACAGCAACAACAGTACTTGCAGTGTGTGAAAACAGTGCACCCATACTGATGAAAAAGGAATTTCCCTCTCAGAAGAAAGCAGTCACAGCACCCAGACAAAGTGGCACGTAATTGGCAAAAAGCAGAGAAAGGGGTAGCTCAAGAAAACACCCCAGATGACACTCAGCCCAGAGCTTGGGACTGCACAGTAAATACTTTTGGAAATACAACACTGCACAGATTCCAAAGAAATCAGGGTTACACATGCACCTGAGTCAGTACCTCATTTGACAAAGCATTTGGGGGGGGGGGAGGGGGTAAGGAAAACCAATTAAAAATCTGACATTGAAATTAATACCTTACACAATAATTACATATGATTTCATTGTCCAGGGAGAATGTGTTAGCTGGAGTGCATATTAGAAATCAAACCTGCTTGTAACCCTAAAACACACAGCTTTACTGTCTAACAAATCTGTTGTTGCAGTGGTTAATTACTGTAGCCTTATAGCTTTCATCTAAGTTTTCAGACCACTGGAGACAGCGATTAGGGAACGCTGAACAATAAAACTGATAACTATACCTTACCTTTTTTATGCGCTTGGCAGACACCCACCAGAGGATTATGTGTCCTGGTGTGGCGCTGGGGGTTAGTGCGCTGAACTGCAAGGTCGGTGGTTCAAGCTCACCAGCTGCTCCTCGGAAACCCTATACAGGGTCGCTATGGGTCGGAAC